TCTATGGAGTGCACAGTTCCTATGGACCAGTGGCCCTCAACCTTCCTAATGCTGCGACCCTTTAATACAGTTCCTCATGTTCGGCTGATCCCCAACCATGACATTATTTTCATTGCTACTTCATAACTATAATTTTGCTACTGTTATGAATTGTAATGGAAACATCTGTGTTGCTGCAGGACTTCTCTCCAGGTTCCCCAAGCGCCGCAGTCCCACAATCCACTTATAAAATAATCACTCAGACGCTTATATCACTTATAAACTGTATGGCCGTGGCAGGCTTCTTGCTAACTGTTCTTTTATCTTAAATTAACCCATTTCTATAAATCTATACCTTGCCACGTGGCTGGTGGCTTACCAGCGTCTTCACATGCTGCTTGTCCTGGCGGTGGCTGCAGTATCTCCCTCCTCCGCCTTCCGCTTCCCAGAATTCTCCTCTCTCCTTGTCCCACCTACTTCCTGCCTGGTCACCTACTTCCTGCCTGGTCACTGGCCATCAGTGTTTTATTTATATAGAATGATATCCACAGCACATCTGTGTTTTCCAGTGATCTCAGGCAACACTGGTGAAAGGTCATTTGACTTCCAAATGAGTCGAGACCTACAGGTTGAGAACCGCTGCTCCAGACACAAATTTATAAGGTAGGCTGGGCTATTTCTCACTAGTCAGCCGTCTGTCCTGGTGCAGAGCTCTCGGGTTAGGACAAGGCGGGACTCTTCTGTGGACATTTGTTTGGAAAGCAGCTGTCCTAATGGTACTGCCACAGGGTCTTTCCACCAGGGACACCGGCTTTCTCACTCATGGAAAGCAGGCTGGATCCACAAGTAAAAGGAGCTCAGAGCTTCAGCTTTAAACTGGGCATAGCGGCTCATTCCTCTAATTCCAAGCACTCAAGAAGGAAGCTAAGGCAGGAGGACCAGTCCAAGTTCAAGGCAAGCCTGGTCTACCTAGAGAGTTCTGGGCCAATCTGGGCTACAGAGTAAAACCTGTCTCAAAAATTAATAAATTCCAAACTTTGTTCATGTCTATCTAGATGTCCCCATTCCAAGTCTCAGATCTCCACTTCTTTCTAATCAATAACATGTGAACACTGAAAAGACCATGCAATTCTATGGCCAGCACAATAAAGAAGATGGGGCCCGTTTTCAGCAAGGCAGCTATGGGACACAGAACAAAGGGGTTTAGAGCCCCCAGGAACTCTGTGATTCCCAGAGTGGGTGTGAGAGTTTCAAGTTTGTTTTCTTCCTGTAAATACTCCAGCAAACCCAGGACCAGCCACTACTACCACCAACTGTCAAGGACTATAAAGATTTGCTCCCCCAGGCACCTAATTCAGAAAATACTCCATCACAATCAACCAAAGGCATCTTTATTTAAATTAATTCCAATGCCATTACATGCAACGGGTCACTGGGATCTCATTTCTCATTAGCAGGGAGCTGAAGAATATCCCAATAACAACCAGGTGTCTAGGTTAAAATCAACCCAACTCCCAAGCTCTATCTTTGATGGCATTTTGCCCAAGAATCCTCTTCTGAGTGATACTTTATCAGCCATAGTCTAGTCAGGAAACCAAAAGCACATGAACTATTGAGCAGGAAGAAATAAATGTATTAAAAACTGTTAACCAGCACTGGAGATGTAGCCCAGTGGTAGGGTGTGGGAGCCCGTTCTCGGGTTCCTCGTGGCTTTACCCAGCAGGTCCGAATAGAGGATGATCAGGACCACGGGCCTGAGTGCAGGTGTCTGAGATGGTCTGCACCTGGCTGTGCTGGGGAAGAGGTCTTTTGCTCCACCCCTTGGCATCTCTATAAAAACCCTGGACCAGAGACAGTCGGGGCCCGTTGGAATAGGTTCCAGGCCCTCTCGAGGCTATCCTTTATTTTCTGTTTATCTCTGCAATAAATCCTTCTATCTAATATTTCCTGCTGCTCACACTCAAGAAAACCCTGGGCAGCTGTGGGGTGGTGGGTAAACGCCCCACAGTAGGGTGCTTGTCTAGCAGTGGGAAACTTGCCACCAGCTATTAAGTAACGGAAAGTAACTAAGACTTACAGTAACGGAAGAAAAAAGATTTGGAGTTGGGATCCTATGGCTCTACTGCAACTCCAATACAAAGAGACGAGGCTGACGTAGGAGAGTTGAAAACTATAAACTGGGACCAGAACACTGCCAGAATGAAGCATTGTTGCTACGGAAGGCATACAAGAAAAGGAACCAGACGGAAATGACGTGCCTCTTAGGGCTGTCTAGACTTCCAGTCTGTATCCTTTCTCGGGGAAGCGTTATCAGTAGACAGCAAAGGAGAAAGGTGCTTTAGAGTTCTGCCCCAGATTCACTAGCAGAGGCCACAGGAGCGCTGTGGGGCTGACAGCCAATCCCTTACTAAGCTGTGGCGCAGAGGAGGCGGGGAATCACTGCCAAGTCGGAGTCCTGGATTATTTGTGGAAAGCACTTGAGAGCACCTGACTGAGGCTGTTGAGGCTCCCAGAAGCCACTGTGGAGGCTAAAAGACATCTGCTTCCTGCGGTGTGATTTTTTCTCTGCTATGGGATCTAATCATGAGATGCTCCTCGTCTTTCAGCATGCTCACCACACAGGGGAACACCGCACAGTGGAGAGAAGCAAATGGCAAGAAACTCAGCTGTAAGGGGTAAGAACCCCGACTGTGAAACAGATAACCAATAAAGATCAAACGGCAGACATTACCAAAACAAAATGACAAGGATGAAAAGGATAGTAGTTGGTAGTTTATTTTGGTTGCCTTGGCTGGGATATTAGAAAGATGTTTGTAAGGTTAAAATAGTGTCCAAGTCATCCTTTCTAGTAGATGGACCTTTTAACTTGCAAATAACATATAAAAAGTTTATCTATATAGATGAAGCTAAGCTAAGTGGGAAGAATGGTTGGTTAGGTTCACCAGGACAGGTTAGGTCCAAATCAGGACGGAGGTGACTGACACTTACTTACAAAGTCTTCCAGCCTCAGCAGTGCTCAGACCAGACGTCAAGAAACAATACCTCAGCAGAAACTTGCAACACTTATGAAACTCATAAGGACAAGGGGTAGTAAAATAATCATTATACAGTCAAGCCAACCTGACAGAGCCAGGATTTGAACCTGCGTTTGCCTGACTCCAAAGTGTCTGTCTTTTAAACACAGACAGACAGACACACACACACACAGATCCTGGCTTCCCTTTACCCTAGGGTGCCAGCATTATGTGCAATATGAATTCCACCCAGTTCCCCAATGCTAGAGATAGGTCTAAGAGATCGAACTTAGTGGCCTATTTGGCAACACATATAATGTAATTATCAACTAGATACCAATTTTCCTTAGACAGGAAAATTATGTTGACGAGAGTAACACCAATATTATAGTCCTTTAAAAACTGTATGAACACTAATTTTTTCACTTGGGAAACACCTTCCTAATTCCAATTACAAACTTCCTTGAAGTAAATGACAGCAATTAGAACTGACAGGTTGCAGGCGGTGGTGGCCTACGCCTTTAATCCCAGCACTTAGGAGAAAAACAAACAAACAACAAAGAAGCTGGAAGGTTAATAATAATAACACTATGATCCAGGCATAGTGCACACTCCTATAATCCCAGCACTTGGGGAGGGCTGCATATGCTACAGTGAAACCAACCATCTTACGGAGAACAAATAATTTGTGTAAGACTGGTCTTCATGTTGTTCTGCTTGCATCATTCGGGTTTTATGCTGTACCATGGGGGGGGGGGGGTGTCAGCTGGGAATGTTACATTTTTCTTCTTTCCCAAAAGTGGCATCTATTTTCAGAAACTGACAGGGATCCGTGCCTGTCTTTAAAGTAATGATGAATATGTAAGCAGGTGATATTTTTGAGCCTGATTTACAAAGCTCGCTTCGGTCCCAATCCTGCGTGCTTCGGCTCATGTGGTGTTTCTGAAATTCATTCCCTTTCTCACTCTTTTTTTCTTCTTCAAAGTACTCCTTCTCCAACTATAAATAGCTCATGTCTCTTCCGCAAGGCCCTCTTTGGGCCATGACTCTTGTGCACTTAAGGGGCTATGAAGGCTACAGCCTAGAACAACCGCGGCAGGCTAGTCCGATGGTTTCGACCAGCCGTGTTTATAAGGGTGGCCTAGACAGGATACAGCCACATCTCCTCAGGAGAAATACCGGAGACTCTTCTACCTTGAAATAATTGCTCAGGGGTTATGTAACTCTCCGAGAAGCAAAATACCTCCAACCCACAGAATAACTTACTCCTAAAATCTCGCTACTCTCAAAAAAAAAAAAAAAAAAATGTGTTATCAACTAAAGACCATCTCAAAACAGTGGACTGCTTTCAAGAAGCTGTTCCATTACCAAACGGGAGCTACAGAATTCGGGTAAAAGTTCCTCAGAAAGATCTGAAACCAAGCCAAGGGTCAGTTTAAGTCAGGAACACTGTCAAAGCTGCTTGGTAACCCGTCTGTGCCCGGTGCGGCGGGTGCCCGGTCCTCACCGGGTACCGAGTAGGCCCCCGGCCGGGGACAAAGCCTTCGGACTCTCTGACCCCGCATCAGGACCAAGCTCTGCCCTCCCCCGGGCGGTCCCATCCCACAGGTGCAGCAGGCGGCCTGGGCCGAGTGCGGGCGCTGGCGGTGCCCGCGGTGCCCGAGCCACCCGACCCTCCGCACGGACCCCACACCCGGCCGGCGGTCCCCTCGCTCCCAGCCCTGGACACTCACCATCCTAGTACCAGGCCGGTGGTGACGATGAAGCAGGTGAAAACCACCGCGATGTAGAAGAGCGGCGAGTATTCATAGAGCGTTACCAGGAACACTGCGGGCATCGGGGTCTCCTAGGCTCAGACCGGCCCAGCCCGGCCGGCCGGGACCAGAGCCCGTCTGTATGGCGCCCCGGAGCGGACAAACTTTGTAGGTCGTCACTCGCCCAGGTTTCTGGGGAGCTGGAAGCCGCGGTCACAGGAACCTGGATGCCAATCACAAGGTTGATAAGCAGGCACGCCACGCCCCTCCGGCTCCCGTCCCGGCTATTGGCTGCATGGCGGGGAGGGGCCAGCTCCGCCCCGCCCATCCCAGGCCCCGGGATTGGTGGCCTGCGACAACTCCTCCAGCCTGGCCCAGTTCGCAAATTCCAAACAGAAATTGGGGGTCTACACGGACGAAACTTCAGCTGATACAGATTCTCAGAGGCGCAAGGAATCCCGAAACCCTGCAAACCCTAGGCAAATTTTGGAAGAGGAGGAGGGCCGGCATCGGAGGGGCGGGGAGGGGAGGTTCTACAAAGTGAAATAAACTTACTCCGGTTCTTGTTTGATCTCGATTTACAAATGGTCACGGAAAACCAAAGAAGTGGTCTCTACCGCGAGCGATTTATTGGAACCTTGTCAGCCTTTTGAAAGTAAGTTTAATCAGAGATAATTCGGCAATACGTATTTAAGATTCTCTTAGAAAAAAAAAAAAGCAGTTGTTCTCCCAAGGCCCTCTTTTATTAATTTTATTAGTTCTCCTCAAATTAGAATTAGCAGACCTTTGAGGGCTTTTAAGTAACTAATTTTTGTTTGTTCATTAGGAGACTATTTTAAGTACAGGAAGTAGCTTATAAATGTCTGCTCCCTTTCCTTACCCTTAAGGGTCAGTACCTCACCGTAGCCTCCCGGAAGTCTCTCACAAAACCACATTTATCTCTTTTACTAAAGCCCTAAAGGCCTAGTTACAACAGAGGTGGAGGAAACCCCACACACACACACAAATCCCACTCTGTTAGGGAGGAAGAAAGGGAAAATGAGCCTTAGAAGCATGACTACAGGACCCGGCCATACTCCTAAGCCACCAGGAAATTCATGCTTCAAAAAGATGAGTTAACTTTGTCTAAAGGCCTTGACCAAATAACCATGTATTTTCTGGAGTACTGCTATTTGAGAAGCTTGTTTCTACATGATTTTTCATTAGTAGATATTGACTTGTGTTTATTTAGTCTGGGCTCAGTTGTTGGAAATGTTTTCATTACTATACCAAGCACTACGGTGAATATCCATAAAGCTAAATTACTTCTTTAGGCTCTATCGCTAAGGTAGGACTGTTTAAAATGTGTGTTTTAAACATTTTAGAGACTAGAGTCTAGAAATGCTGTGTCAAACATACAACCACACCATTCCAACTGCAGCTTGAACCAAATTCTTGGCCAAGCTGAAGGCAACTTGGTTACAATAAAATAAAAAGGTATCTTTATTGTGAAACAAAAATCCAGGAAGTTGCCAGTAAAGTTAAGCATTAAACAGAGATAGGATGTTGCTGCGGCTCAAACTCTATTGAACTTACAGTAAAGAGATTTAAGATGTAAGAGCCTAATCCGAGCACTCAGGGAAGCAGAGGCAGGTGGATCTCTGTGAGTTCCAGGCCAGCCTCATCTATAGAATGAGTTCAAGGACAGCCGGAGAGAAGCCCTGTCTTAGAAAGAGAGAGACAGAGACAGAGAGACAGACAGACACAGAGACAGAGAAGAGGATTGGATTGTGGGGGCTCTGACCTAACCAGCAGAATAACCCTTTTGATGGGTTTATAATTCGATGACATTACTATGAAGTGGTGGAATCTTTCAGAGGTAGGGCCTGATTGGAGTTATCAGGTCCTGGGGGAATAGCCATGGGAACTCTATCTTGTCCCTTTCTGCATCTCTTTCCTAGCTGCTATGGAGTGGTCAGCTTGGATTTGCCATACCCTCCTGCTATGATATTCTGCTCTCACCATGGCCAAGAGACAGTAGAGTCAGCTGGCATACACTGAAACCACTGGAACCGTGAGCCAACTAGACCTTCGCTGGTGTTTCTATCAGGAATGTTGTTACTGGGATTTAAAAACAAACATCATCTACTGGGAAAAGATAAACAGTAACCAAAGAGCTTTCAACAAGACAAAAGCAAAATGACAGCTTCTGTTAGAAAAGGTACCTGGGGCTATGAGGACTTAACATGGGGAAATGGAAGAATACGAGGTAGAGATAAAACAGATGTTGGACATGAGATCTGACAGAAACAGGTTTGCCAGTCTAAGGAGCAGCCTGTTCCTGTAGGATGCAAACAGACAAGGATAGTTATGGTTGCATCCCAACAACAACAAAAGACCATACGATTACATACAGCATTGTGAGGACCAGGGATGTCGTTGATCGAATACTTGCTGGCATACTTCAAGACCGGGGTCAATTCTCAGTACTTGGTGAAAACAGGCATAGTGGTACATATATGTAATTCCAGCCCAAGAGAGATGGAGCCCAGACTCTCAGAAGTTCAGTGTTATACTTGGCTACATTGTGAGTCTAAGGCCAGCCTGGGTTGTGTGAAACCTTGTCTGGAGAGAGACAGAATTTTTTTGTATTTTTTTTTTCTAACTTGATTATGCAGTTCTCTGGCATGAACTTTGTAGATGACAACATTGTGTTGAGATGTCAAGAAGTTGGGCACACCTGCCAGTGTAGCACAGACAAAGGCCCGGAGATGTGAAGTTGAGAAACTGAAAGGTTAGGCTGGGTGAAGTATGGAGAAAGGTAGCGACCTGGCCAAATAGGGGGTCTTGCATTTTAACCTGCTTACACTACAGCTACACAGCTACCCACTACAATATACCCTAAGAACAACTGAATCACAAGGCTGCCAATGTATCTGAGTTTTCAATAAATCACTGTGGCTGGTGTACAGAATGGCTGACAGGAAGGACAGGAGAGTGTATGTAAGTAATGGGACACCAGCTACTAGATTATTTCAAAAAGCCAGGCACGGGGCTGGAGAGATGGCTCAGCCTTTAGGAGCACTAGCTGCTCTTCCTAGAGCTCCTGAGTTCAATTCCCAGCAAGCACAAGGTGGCTCACAACCATCTGTAATGAGATCTGGCGCCCCCTTCTGGCCTGCAGGCAGAACACTGTATACATAATAAATAAATTTTAAAAAAACCAAAAAAAAAAAGCCAGGCAGGAAAGCTTGGTGACTCTGATTAAGATAGTGACAAGGACTTTTAGAAGAGTGGATTCTATTTTTTTTCCCATCCGTGAATAACAGAAAACCAAGAGATATAATTACAATTTCCACTGAAAGTCCAGATGTGGCAATGAAAAGCCAACACTGGGTTCTGTTGTGGGAGGAACCCAGACTCCTGTTTGGTTCCACTATTCATGGCCCCCATTTCGCAAGTCTTTTCACAGTCTATTATGAAGGGGCCACCATCGTGTCTGTATCCTTGCTACCACGGAGAAGGAAAAATGCGAGACAACTTCCTCTGAAGAAGATTCCGGGGACATATCACACATTCCATTGACCACAAGTCAGCTTTGTGTCTGAATTTAGCTTCAAGGAAGTTTGAAAAAAAAAAAAACTACAGACTTTACTCAAGGAAGTTATGTGCTTGGTTAAAGACTAGAGTTCTAATAGTTTAACTAGAGTTAAAAACGAGATGCGAGGTAAAACGGAACTAGAAGGCTCTCCTAGGTGAGGTTTATGGGACTTAATCAAGGCATGTGGGCATAGAAGGGGAGCAGGAATGGGGTTCTGGGTTCTGCCAGGAAAAGAATGTACCCAATCATGCTCGACTGACAGATTCTCTGCCGTCACCCTGTTTCCATTCACCTCAGTTCTTCTCTAAGCATAGACATTAAATGGAGCACACTGACAATCATCACCACACTGGTGACGGATGCAGGTTTATGCAGCCAACTTGGGAGATCCGTTCTATCAGTGCAAACACAGAATTGCAATGAGGAAGTGAAGTATAAGGCCCGGCAAGATTCCCCTCAAAACTTAAGCTTAATTTAAACCAGAGTACTTCACACTTCAAATTTACCCTACCACTGAAAATACAAGGAGGATGGCATGGCCTTTTAGGTACTGATTTCCATAGAAGTGAGAATACATGTGGAGGATGGGGCAGGGTTAAGGTGGGGTTTTTTTTTAATTAATTAATTTATTTTATGTATACAAATGCTCTATCTGCATGTACACCTTTATTCCAGACGAGAGCATCAGATCCCACCACAGATGATTGTGAGCCACCATGTGGTTGCTGGGAACTGAACTCAGGACCTCTGGAAGAGCAACCAGTGCTCTTCAGCTCTGAGCCATCTCACCAGCTCCTCCCCTTCCCCCTTTTTTGAAAGGTGGGGACTTATGATGGCTCGGTGGTGAGCAGCACTGGCTGCTCTTGCAGAGTCCACAGTTCCATTGCCAGCACCCACATGGCAGCTCACAGCCTTCTGTAATTCCAGTTCCCAGGATTGGGATGCAGTCTTCTGGCCTCTGCTGGCACTTGCACTCATACATACATAGACATAAATTAAAATAAATCTTTTCTAAAACTTTTTTTTGTAAGGATGGGGACTTACTATGTTGCCCAGGCTATCTTGAACTCATGAGTTTGTGCAATCCTCTGCCTCAGCCTCCAAAGTAGCTAGGACTATAGGAAAGCACTATTGTGCCTAGCTAAAGGGATAGCTAATCTTAAAATTAGTGAAATTAACTATGTGCAGATCCCAGAGTTGGCTAGACCTATTGTCTTAGTTAGGATTACTATTGCTGTGATGGAACACCGTGACCAAAAAGCAAAGTGGGGAGGAAAGGATTTATTTGGCTTATACTTCCATATCACTGTTCACCATAGAAGGAAGTCAGGATAGTTCGGGTCACTGCCCACTACCTCTCCAGTGCTAGAGTGACAAACCTTGACCGATACACATGGCTTTGAACTTGGGTCTTTGTGCTTTACACAGCAAGCGATTGGTTGAGCCATCTCCCCAACCCTAACTGATCTAGTTTTGTTCTTGAACGCTACTCCCGTCCCAAATAGTATGGGTGTGAAGGAAGAGAGGCTCATGGGAACTTACATTTATAAACTGAAGGTCTTGTTAATAGTCTGGTCTGGGGTGATGGCTTCGTGAATAAAGGGCTTCCCTGTATAGTGGTGAAGGCCTCAGTTTAGATCTCCAGAATCCGTGTGAAAGCCAGACTGAGGGTGTCACCCTAGAGGTCGTGTAGCAAGGTGAAAGAAGAGACAAGTGAATCCCTAGGTCTTGAGCCAGGCAGCCTGGCATGTGCAGCAGCAGGAAGAGACTCCTGTGAAGACTGGCACCTGATGATGTCCTTTGACCTTCACGTGTGTACTGTGGGATGCATGTACCTGTGGCATACACATGTACACACACATTGTAGCAGGGCAGGCCCATAGGGTCGAGGAAATTGGCTCAGACCAGTTGCCAAGGTGTGCACATAACATACTCCTTATGAGCCAACCTGGAGTCTGCCTGAGGGCCTAGCAACAGTTGCTGTCAGAGTTCCTGATTGTGCCCAGCCAATGAGGGACGACTACACAGACTGGCCTTCCCTGTTAATAATAAATGAGCTCATTATTTGCCTTCAATGAACTCCTGGTGTCTGTGCCATCGATGTTGTGCCTCCTCATCCCCATCTCACCCCCACCCCCACCCCCACCCCCCACCCCCGCCTGCCCCAGGGGAACTATTAGAATCCAAGCAACAACACATGAAGATTTTTAAAAAGAATTTTTTTTTTTAGTTTACACTTCTAAGAAT